TGAGTGCGGTAGGTAAGAGACACTTTACTCATAAATTTTAGGAAAGTAATAATTCTCACTTGTTTTATTTATTAGGTCAATTTATTTTCATGTAAACTAATAACTATGGCAATGATAAACCTGTGTGTGTTAAGAGTGAATTTGCCAGTTTTGTCCAACCTATTTGCATGTACAGTGTATTCACAATTCTTATCCTATATTATACCATTTTGGCATCGTACATTTTTCCTCTGTCCAATAGTTAGCAAATAACCGGTTATAAATGTCATCTGTTATTTTTTATCTCATTTGTATGTCTAGTCACTCAATCGACATTTGAGCCATAGTCACATTTATTCTTAGAGGAATAATCTAAAAATGTCTACATATGACTGGAAAAACTTAATCCCTTGTCTACATGATTGATAACGATAATTATTATTCACATTAATATATTCTATTCTGATTCTACAATTATATATCCAAATTAATAACCCAAACAGTGGTTAGGTTTAAAGCAAAATACATCGTTTAGAAGAATAACGTATACATTTCCGATAAGTCGTAGAATTTCAGCTAACCATTTAACAATCAAATGATACGAAGAGTTATTCATATCACGTTTTGGAAGTATGAACTTTTAGGAGTCTTTATAGTTTTAGTATAATGCATTCCGACGGTCCAAGATATTCATGTAGGTCACAACTGATAATAGACTCATCTTTTATCATTCTTAGGATTTTAATTAACATCTGATCCTTTTTCTTTAGTTGCGTCTTTTTGAATTATTTCTTTAGACAATTTATCAGCATCCGATAATATCGAGGATAATTTAATAACATAGTCGAGACAACCTAAAAGGACAGTACTTGCTTCCTTATCTGGATGATTCAACACAAAATCCCGATTTCTTAGAAAACCAAATAAATGAGATTTATTTTCTTTTGTGAGTAATCGTCTAGTTTTAGGTATTATCCTACGCATCATTTAGACGATCTACAGGAGTTGTTTTGAATTGCTCATAATCGAGAGGAGAATTTCCTTCTCTGAATTCTCTTTATTTTTATCCTATCACAATGAAATAGATTGTATACCGTAATTGCATAATAAGTAAACAGTACGAATTGATAGTAAGAAAATAGATGTACTAGTAGTAGTGATAAGAATAATAAAATAACAAAAGTTCTAGTTTTAATGGGATGTGAAACAATCGCTTACATTCTGTTGCTTTGCAAAAATAAACTTTTAATGTTTGATCTCATTGTTCTCTGGCTGCTTTTCATAAGTTTGCGTTGCATATCATATGTCATGAACTCTAGGATGCGGGTACATCCATCGGTCGAGTCCCAAATAGGACGAAACGCGTTTCCTGACTTCCACTACTAGCTACCATCATCTCTACCAATAATGCTTGTGACTGAAGGTAATATCTAGGCAATCTGCATATGATGAACATATTCCAATAAGATAATGATCAATTGCAGTTTTAAACATCAATGAGAATATTCAAACAACCAGTAAAAAAATTAATCTAAATGAATACTTCAAATAGGTATCCCAAGATAGGGCTGTGTGACCGTTTTCAAATCAAGCTGGGGATGTTCACTCATTCCTTAGTAAAGTGACTTGGTAGTACGCCCACTATAGGTATCTTTGCAGGAGCAGCTGAATTCGTAGATACACATCAAAGAGGTAAACTCGGGTAACTTGTCCCTTGTTTGAGTACATATCACTGGTCTGCTAAAAAATATCAATGGAAAATTAGATGCGTGGAATTTCCTATCAACTGCGGTCGCTAATCTGTCATGCAGGATATTCGCTAGCCAAACCCCCGTTTAACTGTCGTTTTGGAAGAGGTTTCACATGACTAGTCAATATCTTCAACTTATTTTTTACCCTCATACACGAACTTCTCTAAAATCTCGGGTAGCCTATCTCAATCAGTATTTTATGAAGAAACTCCAACTCCTTCTTTACGACGTCAGTTGACTAGATCTTTATTGCTCTGCTTGTGAGGCATCTAACCACATTTCGTTTACGGTGAATGGGTGTAAAATCATAGAAATGTGTGTATCAGCATGGTCTAACTTCAATTGACTCATGATCTCAATTATTGAAATTAATAATATTATATTGAGTTAAAGTATTCACGTTTTAGAAATTTTAGTCATATAAGAATATATCCCTCGATATTCAATGATAATAGATGCGAAATTCGTCTCTGAAGATTCGCAGACAGTCTATACTGAACACTTGTTTAAACATGTTCAGATGTCGCTTTTGTATAGAGTAAGAATATGAGACGCTGTGGATTGGGTGAACTATTTGTACAAGTAAACAATGTACGCATCCTCATTTCATTTAAAGCGACATTGCAACACACTATCCTACTATTCGCTACACCTATACAGTTAATTTCATAATCTGTACTTTTACTTAAATAATTAGCTAAACGATTATTACGTCATTATGGTATTATCATGATGAGCGATTTCACATGGAATCCTGAAGGTCAAAGGAAAAGAGGAAGACCAAAGAATACATTACGCCGAGAAATGGAGATAGACATGAGAAAAATGAACAAGAATTGGATGGAACTAGAAAAGAAGGCCCAGGACAGAGTGGGTTGGAGAATGCTGGTCAGCGGCCTATGCTCCATTGTGAGTAACAGGCGTAAGTAAGTAAGTAAGTAATGATGAGCGATTACCCAACTACATTGGATTACTCTACTTTGCATTATTACTTTCAAACATATATACACACAGCGCTCTTAAATAAGTTTATACATACATTTTGTATCCTTATCTTTTAATTGTTATGATTTCGGTCACGTTTCAAATTTTACCTATACTTCAAAAAACTAGACTATATCAAAGACATTTGTTAATAATTATGTGAAAAATTGCAATTTCGGGTTATATGTTGCTAATGAGAAACCGTGAAATAAAATGAATGAACGTTGTTTTTCTTGCTTGGTTTTAAGTTATCATTGGATCTGGTCATATGAGATTATTACATCGGCATTCAGTTCATTCAACTCCTCTTTTAGCTCTTCTAGGGTTACTGCCGGACCCAAAACAGGTAAAAGAATAGGTTAGGCAACCCCATCTCGTAGAAAACAACTTTTCTAAAAAAACCTTAACCAGAACAAACAATTTAAACTCTGTCCTCCTAGTTAAACGGTCTTCATTCAAAAGAATTATGACGAATCATAGTGAAAGCCGAGATTCTTCGGAATTCACGAGGCCAATGCCCCTTCTAACAACCAGAGCAACAATTAATATAGGTACGTGGAATGTCCGGACAATGTAGGAGACCGGAACGACCAATCGAATAGATCAGAAAATGAGGAGATGCAACTTGACGGTTCTCAGAACAAGTGAAAACCATTAGAAGAAAGCTGAACAGAAAACGTTAGATTCCAAAGAGGTGCTTTTGAACTCTGATCACGAAGAAGAAAATGCCTCACACACAGTGAGCTGCACTGATACTGTCTAAAGAAGCACGAAATGCACTTATTGGATGGGAACCTCATGGATCGAAAACCATGAAAACGTCATTCGAAGAAAAGAGTATGGAATGACAATGAGTGTCATAAAGTGCTATGCACCCACCAATGATAGAAATGAAGATGACAAGGATCAGTTTTATGAGAGACTGTAATCGATTGTAGAGAAGTGATCAGACCATCCTGAAGTGAGACGTAGACAACAAAGTCATAATGGACAACACGGGATATGAAGATATCATGAGACGATATCAATTGAATGGGAGAAAGGAGTTAGAATAATGAGAGATATTCAAATTTATGTGCATTCGACAATAGCCTACCGTGAGAAAGAACGATTCAGCTTCCAGTTGAAGAGGAAATTAGGAAAAGTTGTTGGAAGTGTATAGGACATACATTTAGGAAATCGTCAAACTGCATCACGACGCAAGCGTCAACTTGGTATCCTGAAGGGAAACGGAAAAGACTAAAGAAGAAGAAGACCAAAGAACACATTGTGTCGAGAATTGTAAACAGACAAAAAAAGGATGATTAGCAATTGGAAACAAGTGAGAAATATTTCCCAGAACAGATATGGATTGAGAATGCTGGTGAGTGGACTATACTCCTCCATAATAGATAACAGGCGTAAGTAACTAATCAAATTTATTCGCCAAATTCCTAATAATTTTAATGTACTGGTGTCCACATTTTGTTGACTTTCCACATCAAATGAATTTTATTCCCATAATACACAGGATTAACTATGAAACGTGTTTTAACAAGCGTTTAGCATTGACTTGTTTCAAACCTCATTCTTCTTTGATAATCAACACTTTCGTTGTTGAATTGCTAGCACACACTAGTATTCTGTCTGTTCGTGGATAGAAGCTAAATATGATTAATCGTCTTCATTCATTAATAAGTTTGGTTACTTAAAAATTTTACTTCTCCAATTATGTGAACCGACTGAGGCAACTTTTACAAACTATGATGAGAATCGTTCAACGAAAATTATCCATTTTCCATGGAACCTAACCAATTAGACTGGAATAAAAAGCTTGCGCATTGATCAAATTGTGACTATTTTGTCTACATTCTATTCTTCATCATTTCGCCCCGTAGGAAACTTCAGACCAAATTTCATGATTTGATTAGTAAGGCTTTGATTGGTTTACTGCGGAATTTTATTAACAGTGTCAATTTTTCGAAGTCTACAATCATTTAAAACGTACATAAAAGATATTTCTCGATTTCCCTATAAAACTCAGAACACTTCAAAAAATCAATCGTGACCCGAACAACAGACGTTTTTCAATTCATTTGTCTTATCTCCACAAAACTCATTCTGATTATAGTAGCATTGTCAGGACAATACTATTTAAGCCAATCAATGTTTATCATTATCTGTTGTTGTATAATCATGTCCATAAAAATGTTTAATTTATGTCTGTATATGTGTGTACACATGGGTTACATATGACCAAATGTTATTTGGTATTTAAAGCCTCAAATACTATTGACTATCATTTTAATGGCGTCAATTATATTGCGTAAATTTTATCAACAGTCTGTAAGTGTTATTTTTATATGATTTCATTCATTATATTTATTGAATAACTAACAGTACGTTTGATGTGCTTAAAATATGGGATAATATTTACATTCAGTAGATTGAAACTGAACTACCTCGTTGTGCTATTTTTTATTTCGTTAATATGTTAATCAGATTGTAGTGGAATACCTTCGAAATATTTCCTGTACTTTGTACAACAGTTGTTTTGATAACCTTTATCATTATGGCATAACACAGATCAAACGACTAATAAGCACATGATGAATGGATAGGAATGAAGATGTACATATACGTAAGCATGCAAATGAGTCATCGCGCGCTTTGAACAACTAACATTTAAGCTAGATCCAAAGAGGGTAGTTAATTAGTATCGTGATTCAAAGTTAGAAGTTAGGGTTTGGAATCAGAGATAGGATTTTCATCATGGACTGATATCGGCTATAATGCAAAATTGCTATTTGACCATAATAATAAATGAATTTTGAACCATAATCCAAGACTCACTATCCTGAATCTGATTGGTTCGTCCACTCATAATTTCTCCCTATATGTAGAAATTACCTATAAATACAATTATGCAGCTAAATAAATAATATCGTCTAAAAGAATGCTTTTGTTCCTTGCTGAAATGTCTTCATTCTTTCTTTCAATGAATAAATGGGTTTCTTTAGTCGTTAGAATATTCTTTGCATGATTACTTGACCGAGCTCTCTTAGATGATTTGATACTGTGAGTGTTTCTGTACTTAGATAATGTTGCTGTTTCTATAGTAATCTTATTTTCTACTAATAAGTTCCACTGGATACGTATTTTAACGTATATATTTGGAATAGAATATTGTTAGAAACAGAATTAATATTACACTGATTATGTCTTCACTGACTAATACTAATTCTAAATTGAGAGGCTGTAAACTCCACTATACCCGTTATCTTTTATTAGATAAAGATTAAAATGAATTATTTACCTTTTAACATTTCCACTTGAAAGTAAACTTTATGATTGGAATTTTTAAAATCTCATCTCTTCATTTAGTCCCAGTCAATTAAGATATTTTCTTATGCAAACAAATTTACTTGGCTTTAAATGATCATATCAACTCTATTTGACTTAGGCAACGATATCACAGCCTGTCTTTACTAATAGTTTTTATCTATCAGTAATAAGAAAATAATTCGTTTACAAAAGGTCAAGTTGTTATCACTTTGTTCGTGTCATCCTTACAAGAAATGTTTTATTTAAGCGCCAAGCATGTGCCGTCAATAGTGGTCTTTTCTAGCATTCTCACCATTTCATTGCAGATATATAATGTGATTGTTTGTTCACTTTCAGAGCAATTCTAGAGGACAATGTTATATTTAATTAAAATAAAAAGAAACCACATGTAACGTGTGTAGCATATCTTTAGCCACTGAAGAAATAGTTCAAAATGACGGAGACTTTTGTATTAGCAAAATCATTACTATAAATTGTGCACCAAATTTATTTGCTGGGCGTACTTTAATGAGTGATTGGTTTAAGATATGGTTAACATTTCAGAAATAAAATGTGAACGATAACTTTGATTGTCAGGAATACTAATATTACGTTTAGTAGAAGTATTACTTGCTTAGTTACACATGTTACTGTTTATGGAGCAATGGCGAGGGGTGAATACGAATCTCTCTCGGATTTTGGCGTTTTCAATAATAATAACTTTTTGCTGTATAGTACTTTGAACTGCGATTCAAATTTCTCTTCCCAAACAAGGTTATTTGAATCTTGTCAGATCACAATTGATTGATCACTGGGTGGTGATCAATCTCATGCTTGTCTAGTCCTTATTAGTGCAGATCGAATGCTATCGATCATGTTGCAATGTGGCCACCAGTCTAGGTGACTCAACACTGCGGGCACTATGTATTGAGATTTAGATGGTGGTTGGAGGTAGTCAACAGGAAACCCTGGACCCGGGTTTCGTGCTACTTGGCACTCGTCAGCAAGGTGTACCTGTAATCTTGAGGGAACTGGTGCTCCCTGGCGGATTCGATCTCGTGTCACCCAGCTTCACAGTCAGAGACAGGTACACCTTGCTGACGAGTGCCAAGTAGCACGAAACCCGGGTCCAGGGTTTCCTGTTGACTACCTCCAACCACCATCTAAATCTCAATACATAGTTCCCGCAGTGTTGAGTCACCTAGACTGGTGGCCACATTGCAACATGATCGATAGCATTCGATCTGCACTTATAAGGACTAGACAAGCATGAGATTGATCACCACCCAGTGATCAATCAATTGTGATTACATCTCAGTCCTACAGGAGGTTAGTCACGGCTCGGATAGCTCAGTGGTAACGTCTCTGACTGTGAAGCTGGGTGACACGAGATCGAATCCGCCAGGGAGCACCAGTTCCCTCAAGATTACAGGTACACCTTGCTGACGAGTGCCAAGTAGCACGAAACCCGGGTCCAGGGTTTCCTGTTGACTACCTCCAACCACCATCTGAATCTTGTCAGATGCCAGAATTATTGTAGGTCTTAATATACTGTGACTTTTACAGTAGTTTTGGAATTTCACGGGATATCCATTCTCCATCAATGTTTCGCTTAATAGCCTCACCTCGCCTCAAATAGTATTATCTACACAAATGAGGTCGATTTCATTAAATCGCTTCTTTATGAAGTCATGTTTTTATGATGCCGCACACTAACAGTGAAAAAGAAAATACTGCCTCTTCATGTATTGTGTTATTAATATCGTATAGTACCAATAAAGTTCACATCCTCACTGCATCATTCCGAAATATCTGATTTTTAATGATTATCTGATTTCTCCTCGTGTTCCCGATCGCTTTCAAGATATAGTGTGTACAATAAATATCGAATTTAACCTCATATTAAATTACCACATATAAAAAAGTCTACGGTCTTTTTTGACATTAAAAATGACTATATGATTCTTACTTGATGTTTATCAAGAAGAAAGTAGTCTGGAAATACTAATATTATGTTATCTTAAAACAAAATTGAATTTTAGTGGATACTAAATAACAATCGGGAAATAAATTCACTAAATTATATTCATTGCTAGTGTGACATTTTAGTTGCAAATAACTAAGAGTGCATTGTTACAGGGGCTGAAAATTGATAACATTTCCAATTTTTCTAATAGAACAATACCTACATGGGTTCTATGAAAAACAACGTGAATAATTTCAATAATTTCTTAGCATTAACCTCTGTTCTTTCATAATGGCCTTGAGTAGTTACTTAATTCGTTAACAAGTAAAGAAAACTATTCTGAAATATACAAATGTCTTATAGATCGTTCAGAGGAACTGCGATCCACTTTCGTATATGACTTATTTTGACGTGAACCAATCAATGTTCTGACGTAAATCAATGAATTATAAAACCTATTGTAGTGTTCGTATAAGGTTACTGGGTAATGTTTACACTATACATCAAATTAGGTTATGTAAACTACGAGACTGTTACAAACTTACTGTGTAGAAATGAATTAACCTTAAGGAGTGCATGGCTATGATTCAGTTCTCTATGGAGTAAGGAGAGAACATGGTTGGACAATTTCAGGCGACAATACAACGTTCGTTAAATGGGTTCCTAGTTTGTCAAATGCTTAACTACAAACATATTTTTATGGTACTATCGTGAATACTGTAAGTATTATACATAACAACAATACCTTCAAGCTAAGAAACCATTTCTGAATTGATTACTATCTATTTTTCCACCATTTTTAAATCTACGCTTATCAGTATATGATTAAAAAAAACGTTTACCCCTAGATTTGTTGCTTTTTCTAGTATACTGTTCTGGAAAAAAGCCTTCCTCGCGATAAATAAATTCTTTCCGTAAAAACGTGTAGTGCACGGGAAACTAACAAAATTTCGTTTAAATCTATTATCTTATTGTCAATAGTTAAATATCTAGAAGGTGAATCAGGCATAGAAACTTTTATTACACAGAGATTTGTTAACTACAGTTACAAATAACAATCTTTACTGAAGTAGAGTTTATATAATAGTTCATTAAAACTTGATATTATTTTAAAACACAATTATCGTCGTTAAGTATATAAGATAATATTTTGAAGTAGATCGAAATCGACGTAACGATATTTTCTCCATAGATGATGGACCTCTATAGACAAAGATATTCAACAGTCCTTAATCAAAGCAACCTATTAAAAATGTCTGTGCAAATAATTGATTTTGATATACAAAATCTAATGACCACCTATCTAATATAATGCATCAGTTTAAAGAAAAGGATATTTACTCTCTACAAATATTTTCTTACTATATTAAGCAGTCACAAAACATGACCCATATATGTAAAAATTGCAAAAATCTCAGTTCAGTACTACTCATTTCATCTTCTTTTTAAAAAAAAACAACAGATTAGATGTATACAAAATGTGACATCAGTACCAATTAAAACTGTTTCAAGTTTATATTCAACTAATGTGGAACCTATACAGAATAAATTAAAATCACCTGTAAATTCATGGAATGAATGGGATCCTTTAGAAGAAATCATTGTTGGAACACCAGAATATGCGACAGTACCACATTTGTTACCTGAAGTGAAAGTAAGTTTTTCTAGTTTAGTTTAAAGTTTTATACAATTTCCAATTATCTTTGGAAATAAGAGAGGTAAAGAAAAACAATCTCTTAAAATTAATTAAACAATTACAGACTAATTTTCACGAAAAACATACTTGTTTTTATTGATATACAGTTAGTAACTCTCTATATAAGTTGGATTCCATTACATTTGCATGGAAAGCATCTTACTTTGAATTCTTAAGTAATAATGATAATATGTTATGTGTTTTTAGAGATATAGTAAATCCCCTATCATGTCAATGTTAGTTGTTAGTGCATATTTATTTTTTTTTACTTCACATAGACTTGTGCTGCAAGTGCTAAACACAATTTCTACATTCAAAATGGAGGTAAATATTGGGCTGATGTTATACCAAAAGAACATTGGCAATTGTTATGCAAACAAGTTGAAGATTTTGTTAAAATGCTTGAATTAGAAGGTATTAAAGTTGTTCGACCTGATCCAGTCGATCATAGAAAGTCATATAAACTTCTTGACTTTGAAACACAAGGTTTGTTGGCATCGTTTTAACTGTTGGTGATTTATTTTACAGTACACAGGCATTTCCTATTTATTACTTTTTACTAATTTGATGTTCTATTGAATTAATTGAACATTAACAAAGCATATGAAACACCATCTCAAGTGTGAATGTGTCGGCCAAAACTGAGCATTATTACTTCGTGTTAGTAATTCGTCTGATTGACCACTGACGATTTAACTAATTTATGTTCATTATCATTCTATTATGGAATGATAAACCAAAAATTTACCGAACGTAATTACCTAGTTATTGTTATGTAAATAATAGCTAACAATGATTCCTTTTGTAAATTCTCTGATTTGGAAGTTATATACTTCTTGTTGAAAGCATCGGACAAATCAATCCATTCCAAAACCATTATTGGTCACAAAACGGACTTAATTCCTATGATGTACTCTCATTTTCAAATGAAGATGAGTATACTTCATAACTCAAGTCTTATTTCATTTGTACCAACATAATGGACAAGATATAAAAACTTCTAATGCTTAATCTACTTTACAACCAAGCAACAAGACCATATCTAGCTTTTTTGTGGTGCTGTTCATGGCCGATGAAATTTACCGTAATAATGAGGTTTGTCTTGTGCTTATTTGTTACGAGGCATTTTTCGTTGTGAACATTTCAAAAAGATGAGAGATTGTTTTACAAAAAAATGAGTGTTATACAGCCATATTGGTTTCCTCTAAAATATTCTTCAAACATAATGAAACAGTTTAGTTTATAATATCTAAAACTTAGATACTTGCCACGCTTGAATTTTGACTGAAGATATTATGCCCGTCACTAAACTCGAGGTTTGCACATTGTATCCATGGTGACGTCATTAGTGCAAACTGACCAGGATGGTTAAGCTAGGAGGAAAATGCTATGGCGAGATAAATAATAAAGTGGAAGTGGACTGTCAGAATGGTCCTGTCTGGAGTTTTTGTTGATATCTTCGTTTTAGAATTATTAAATACTTAAACTATTATATTCTTGTATTCTCCTATTTATAAGCTCTTGTCTAACACATAAATCATTGTTGTGTGTTTTATCATTCCTAAATTACTGTTAATTTATTACGGGTCTATTAGTCAGTTCTTTTCCACTCATGACGCAGTTATACTCATAACGTAATTTCTTAGTTCTGTTGATGTGCGGTCAGGATTAGGCTCTACATTATTGTATGTGTGGTTGGTGAATTCGAACTGTATAGTTAGAAGTTGACTGTTTGTTGAATTATTTGGTTGTTTAGTGTTAATCCCAACTGTTATTTCACTTTTATCGTATCATTGGTTCGCAGACGGTTATTGTTACTAGACAGACGGACAGTCTATACGAGTTAATAAATACTGGAACTAGATCAGTACATCTACTCTCCTATTTTTCAGTCCGATATCAGGGACCCCAAACAATCAAACAAAAAAGTATGTTTATTTTCACCGACGAATCAGAAACAGATGCCTTGTCTTTTCTAATTTTCAATAGATCTTCGATTAACATCACTCGATGATGAAAATAATCTTCCAATTAAATATTCTTCACTCGCCATTCTAACTTTCTATTTATTTGTCTTCCATAAACGCTCATATTCACTTCTAACAACTCTTAAAAAAGCAAATAATCTACTCACTGAGTTTATTTTATCGAATGCAAAACATTGAAACCTTTTGTCAATTTTTGTAACTGACTACTGAGACTTTAATTTTTTTCTTCACTCACTGCCTATTTTCTATACCCAAACTTTTGTATGCAGGCTTCTATGCTGCTATGCCAAGAGATTTCTTATTAATTGTCGGTGATGAAATAATCGAAGCGACAATGACTTGGAGATCAAGATATTTTGAATATTTGGCCTATAGACCACTTGCTTTAAATTATTGGAAACAAGGAGCCAAATGGACAATTGGACCTAAGCCAACTAATTTTTCCGAATTAATAAGAGTGAGTTATCAATAATTCCTGTCTACAGTCATTATTGTTTCGGAAAGAACCTCATTCAGTAAAGAAATTTTTTCCCTCTAGACCGAATCTTTTATTAAAACTGGACTATTGTCTACTCGATGAAGTGGATAAGCCATTTATTTGTCATCGCGTTGAACTTCATTTGATAGTTAAAGGTTATTTAGCAAAAAGATACGGAATAAGATTTTGTATTTGTTGGTACAAAATAATGAGATTTGTACTTAACCTTGATAAGCCTCATGTCCCTGAAAAATAGCGAAGTTATTTTACCGAATAAAGTAGTCACAACGATCATGGAGTGATTGCCAGATAGCAGTATCACTAATTGCACTATAGTAGTCATTAAAAATACTTGGAGTAGTCCTACAAGAAATAACTTGAGAATGACGATTGAAGAGTAGAGCCTGAAGAAGAAAATGAGTTTCCATTAGTTTTAAAATATATAGAATGCCTATTAACCAATGCGTTTGATATTTAAATGAATGCTGTACAAATGTTTTACTATAGATAGTCATTGTGTCTTCATTTTCACCAAGCAATTGATTGAAGAGTCTGGATTTTTCGTGTTACGTTTGTCGCTGTAATCAATCAGTCATTACATTTTTTAAACTAATTTTGACCGATATGGTTTCTGTGCAGATTTTATTTTCTAAAGACTGGTCTAACTCAAAATATTATTGTAAACCAGAGAGTACTAGTTAGTTGTCTCATTGTAGTTAAAAGTAGTGGTTAGTTTTGCTCAGATATTTTGGGAGTGAAACAGTTGTCATTGATCAAATTGGATAATCATCTCAATTTGATACAAATTAATTGATTTTCGAAATATGTGCAACTGGAGGTGAGCCATGCAACTATAATCGTTCAGCGCTCTCCATGAGAATTAAAGGACCTGAATTCAATCCTTTACATGGCCATAGATGCACAGATTCGAAGAGTCTTATATTTGGACAAAACTGCTATATGGTACCTCCTGATTTTCAGTTATATCTCAGCTGAAATTATTTTATGATGAATAAAACCTACAAATTAAATCAATCTCCACAAAATTCCTTCAACTAAAGATATAGTTCCTCTTCACTTACTCAAAAACATTAAATTAGAAGATTTATTCTTTGCTTCTTGATTTTAACTCAGACAGTCAGTCAGCTACAACGTAGGACCAGTCACATATATCCATCAGTCCAAGTTACAATACCTCATTAGCATAACAAGATGAACACCGAATTCAATAGTGGTAATATATAAAAGAAAGATTGCACATAAGCATATAGTACAGGAAGAAAGAATCAGTTGGTAGAAAGAAAGGTAGGAAGCAATCTGAATCTCACAGCTTAAGAGAAGGCAAAGAGTGTATATACCGACGCCATTGTGATCAATTCTGAGCCATATCATACCAGAGTCTCCAATACTTTAACTGATTTGTCTCACTGATTTTGGCAGACGGTATTTGTTTCTTACTTTATCGACTTAATGCTTTAAAACTAATTTGTTAGGTCAAAATTAACAAATTTTAAAGTTCACAAAATAAGTTATATTTACAAATCTCTTAATGATGGAGATCAAATCTTTTCGAATTTTTTTGTCTTTCTGGTTGAAGCTTCTTCAAGAGAATATTGGAAAGTGAAGTGATGAAAGATAGATAAGCTTAATAGGATCTTATCTCAACATAGTGAACCCAATATCGAGTCACCTAGACTAGTGGCCACATTACAACTTTGTCGATAGCATTCGATCTGCACTAAGAAGGACTTGACACACATGACATTGATCACCCCCCAGTAATCAATCAATTGTGGATCTTTATATCAGATAATTATGCTACAAATTTTGCTACTTGTTATAGCATGAATTCAAGTGACTGTTGAGTGTATTGAAAGTGTTGCATATGATATATATATTGTGTGGATCGAAGTAGTTAGCAGAAAGCACTGGATATAACTTTCAGGCTAGTTATCATATACTTTTAAGGTGCATATTCAATCTTGAGGGAATTAAAAGTGTTTGTAAAATCCAAACTCATATTACTGACCATCACTGTCCAACGCGCTAATACTGAGCGATACGGTTGTAACTGAATTCGTATGGGACTGAGATATTTTCACTGAATGATTACTGAGTAGTATCCAGTGTCATGTGTGTCTATTTACCAGTTTTCATGATTTGACTTTTTTTTACACTAAATATTTTTGTGTTAGGTGGTTTTAGGTAATCTGTATGAAGTCATCAACCTGTATGAGGTGCTAGATGAAACTTTTCACAAAAATATATCTGAAATATAATAAAGTGTAGCTAATATCAAGCTGTTTAAACTAGTAACTACGTAGGAACCTGAAGGAAACCTAGTCGGTCACCAACAGGACAAACACGACTTTGTTTACATCACTCATTGTATTTTTTTATCTGTATTCATGAAACTAAAGTTCCGATATCAATAAATCCTGCTTTTTTTAAGCCATGTAGATGAAACTGACATGTGAACTATCAAAAATAATTAGTCTTTATCATGGAGAGTTTTTTAAACGCAATTTATATTTAATGTCTTCTGTATAATATAGGAGAAAAGTAAATAAAACCATTTGTCAACGTTTTGACGAAAATTCATTTAAACTAATTGATACTTCATGTTATTGATTGAATTAAACTTAAACACAATTAGTATGACAATATTCACTGAATACAATTGAATTACTGGGTACTTCATTGATTTCTCACTGAATATATTCAAGACATTTGGTGGTTGAAGGTATTTGGTAGGAAACTTTGTACCTAGATTCCATACCATTTGCCACTTGTCAACAACGTATACTTGCAATCGTGAGGAAGCTGTTGCTACTTAGTGTACTCAATCACATGTTTTAGAGCTTCACGATGTGAGGTTTTACCACTGATCTATTCATACTGATACTGGCTTCTAGTAGGACTGAGTAGTGGTCACTGTCATATTTATCTAGTCTGTTTAGTATTGACCAAATTCTACCGATAAGCTTACTAGTGAGTATTAAAAACAGTAAAAAAGCTAGATTCAAAGTTTCGTGTCAACCAACTTCTACCCACTGACATTTCACCACAGTACACGCGATGTCAAGTCATTTAGACTAGTGGCCGAATTGCGACTTGTTAAACAGAATACAATCAGCACTATTAGAAATTGATCACTACATAATAATTAACCAAATGTCGCTCCATATAGGCTTCTACTTTTACTTGGTTCAAAATCCTAACATACCTACGGACAAGGAACTGATTCGGTCATCAAACAGTAAATCATTTAGGTGGAATTGTAATGAAATTTCAGTCCAAACTTCATGAGTAATGTGAGTCGTCATTCAGGAATACTATAAAAGATAATGTTGCTTCATCATAAGATGAGGAGTTTACAAGAATTTGAGGAAAATAAAGTAGAAACTGTATGAAAATGTCATACTAGCAGAATAGATATTTTCGATCGTAAATATTCACTAATCACGAGCATCAAAATAGAACAAAATAGCTGTTCAATACTAACTACTTGGTCTAATCTATTCTTCTAGAGGTCTCAGACTATTATAACAACTAATTATCTTCGAATTAAATAAATCTGTAAAACCACTTGATTAAATTCTGTATTAAAGTCTGTGTTAGAATCCATTTACCCATATATCTGTAAATAAATTTCACTGAAATGATGTCATAGAAATAAGAAAAAAAAAGGAAACTGTAAGAAGGAATAACACTTATTTTAATTAATTCAGTCGTCAATAAAAACAAATAACATTTCTTTTTTTAATTTTCTTCTAAACTCAAGTCTGTTCGCATACAAATTAGATTGAATTTGTTAGTTAAATAAAAATAACGAAATGTTTACGTTTACTTACGCCTGTTACCTCTCATGGAGGAGTATAGACTGTGGTGGTCGGTATTCGATATAATCAATAAACTTCGTATACAGTTCGTCTTGATAACCGTTCTATATAACGTCCCAACGGTTTATTAACCAGAAGGCAAATACGAAGTGTTGATTACGTTTATTACAAGACCACACACATATATCCAAATGTACAGATGCGTTAAACAAGCATAGAAGAGTTGTGCCGAAAGGCAAGCAAGCGAGCGAGAGCCAGAGCAAGAGCGAGACGAGAGTGTGTGAGTGTGTGAGTATGAATAACATGGACATATATATAGCATGTGAAATGAATGAGTAATAGAATCAAATAATCAGTTAGTAGTAAGACTAGCAGAGTGAATAAATGCGTAGGCCGTAAGCAATATTCAAGCATACGTATTTCATACAAGCACAAAATAATAAGGGTACAATAAGTTGTTATAGTGCGGATGACTTTGTCCGCTAAATGAGTTAGCAAAAGGGCTTAACTGCGTTAGATGAGACTAAACTCATTTGCACGTGAGTCGCTATAAGACCACCTACCAGCATTCTCCATTCAACTTTGTCCTTCGTTCTCCTCCTTAATTATTTATTTCCAAGTTCTATTCATCCTTTTCATGTCTGCTACCAATTCTTGACACAGTTTGTTCCCTAGTTTTCCTCTTTTTTTGCGTTTCCCTTCAGGATTCTAAGTTAACTCTTGTCTCGTGATGCAAATGAAATGTTTAATTGATCTTATATTTGATCACATGAAGCAAATATGATAAATGAGCAAGTGGGATAAATAAATTTGCAATAGAGTTGATTTCATTTAATGTTATTAAAATATAAAAAAAAAACTAATTTTCATTATTCTTGTCCCATGATAAATAAGCAAATTTAAGAATATTGGAGATTAAATTAAAAACCACAACCAAGTTGATTTACATACTTCAATATTTCTGATTGATTGATGAACAGAATATAAAAATATGGTATTTGATAAACGTTTCCTGGACGACTAGATATTCTTTATTCGCTTCTGTTACTCGTGTGTATATGTGTGTGTATTTAAGCATATTTGTTTTCACTATACATCTACTCTGATATGCCACCATATTGATGTTCATTCGGCCTTAAGAATAGAATGATGACGTTGTAGTGTCTGTTGCTATGCTAAGCCCACATAACTTGTTCTAGCTTTCGGACAGACCAATCTATTCATTCTTCTTGAGTCACATTTTGGCCTTTTTAATTGTTTGCTTATCAACCTTGACTGTTTTTATGTAAGCGTAAATGTGTTCACTTTTTATTCTGTTCATCACATGTTTGTAACATATTTGTCTGACTATCAACATTTATTAACACTTGATTAAATTGAGTTGACTTACATGCTTTCTCCACTGCGCATCATTTCGCTTCGCTCTCTTCTCTTCGCTTATGTGGATCAACGATTATATAAAATACATGTATTCGGAATTCATTCTCGTATTTGACTTACTTGATTCCGTTATCCCCTTAAGCAAGTTAAGTCGATAATTATATACGAGGATTGACGACATGTATATTTCAATAACAATCATTTTTACGATCCATTTGGAATCAGATATAAGATTACTAAAGTGGTGGGCGTGTCGACAACATCGTCCGATCTAATTGGCATTAAAATAACGGGCCACAGCGTACTTATGATGTTTCACTTAAATCCGTTTTTTAACAAAACTAAGTGCTGCGTAATTCCAGAAATACGTAAAATCTAAAGCACAGGATTATTAATATTATTTCAAGTAAAGAAAATTACACCATTCAATGTAGTTTCATTGTTTACATAATAATGCTTTTATTAGAAGCAAACAAATACCACTAGAAATATTTCACCAAATTAAGTTTGAATAAGGAATATGTAGAATTTAGCTTAAACATTTATACATTTATATATATTCCTTCGAAGTTTATCAATATATTTCATGAAAAGTGCCAACCAATGACTTAATTGTAAAACTTCGGATATCAGTTTAATGAAACATTCAAACGTTTGATTGGTGACTTAACAACTGTTACAATATTTTTAAAAAAATTTTGTCTATCAACATTTACCTAGGATGAACCTATTAATGTAGGTCTCAGTGATGAACATAATCCAGATTATGGAAAAGTGACAACAGAAAGTGAACCATGCTTTGATGCTGCTGACTTTATACGTGCTGGACGAGATATTTTTGCACAAAGAAGTCAAGTAAGTATTTGTTTTTTTCTTGTCATTTAATGAATTTTCTTTTCCAAATGAATGGATATGAACATTAAGTATTCATACCATATATTGTGTTTTTTTCACTAAATCGAATATTATTTTTCGTAGACAGTATCAACAAACAAAAACCCATTACGTCATTAAACAATAAACTTATATTCAGTAGAACAAATGTCTTGTCAACGATATTACTAAATAAAATAGTGGAATAATAGGAGATCAATTCATAAAGTGTTTCGATATGTCAAATATCAAAAGAACGTAACGTAATGATCTTGATGTGAAATGAAAATGGGAAAACGAAAAATAATTTAGTGGTAGGAAATATGAGGGAAGGTAAAATAATTAACAGCTCAATACAAAAAGATCCCATCAACTTCCTTCCTCCATAACCACCTTTCAAAATACTCCACACGATCAAACGAGAGTGACCAAAGGAAGGTCGAATCGAAAACCTGTGAACTCCTAAGGCTTTGACGATTCACCTATTAAGTACTGAACTTTACATCTGAAAGCAACAGGGTCAATCACTCATTTTTTTGTAGCCCTAATATCTCTTAAATCATGACGGAACAGGTATTGTAGTAGTTGAAACTGATTTTTCAAATTATTTTTAATTATAATTTCTTTGTATAATTATTGAGATACCACGTTATTATGTATACATTTTTCATCATCAAAAGATTCTGTTGGATCAATAACTACTGTCATACGATTTATTATTCCTAATTTCTTACCAGTCTATTACTAACAATCTCCCCTATTCACAGACACTTCTGACTTGTTGGTATATAATTGTCAATAGTTCTGATCGGGTGTGTGTGTGACTGACCAAGTTGGAGACACTGAGCTATATAGTGAGTATTAGACCAAATTATAACCAGAATTCTGATTGGTGTCTTGTTATATGATATTAGTCAGACGGTCTACAAGACTTCACACCTTCAAGTATCTTATAGTCTTCATATGTTTTACTTTTTAGTCAGTATTCAGTTATTACTACCTTCTTAGGAATTTTCAGAACTGTTATTCAATTGTTATTATCATCTTTACTTTTTTATTTGTTCTTCATTCCTGTCAAGTAGGCAATTATGTTTCTGACCCGTAAGTTATTTTTATTTACCTATTTTCTTTCACCTCAAAAGCATAACGTTACCTTCTTTTGATACTTGACATATCTAGACACTTTATGAATTAATCTCTTTCTATTCTTCTATAGACTCATAATTTCATTAAATCACTATAAATGTGATTGTACAGCTTTAATTGAATGAAATAATCTTAAACGAAGAGTTTTTTTGTTGTTGCTGAATTACCTTAATTTTTCATTCAGAAGCGGTTCACAATTGACAATCAAGACGTAATCATATGTAATAAATAACTATTTATACCAGGTTTAAAATAACTTGAAGGTCTATATCTTCAATTAGTTCTCAAATTGAATAAAAAAAACCTTTTAAATTTTCCAATGTTTTTGAATTTTTGTAAAGAACGTGAAGTCATTAACGTTTAAAACGATGGTTGTTGTTGAAGTGTAAAATGAATTATAAAAAGAAAATAAACAAGTTGAGTTTTCTAGACAAATAGACAAGAAAGAGTTTGTCAAGTTAACCTTGACTTCTTTCTAATATTCTTTCTAAGAATATACCCTAACTTTACTTACTAGTATAATATTAACAAATTATAGAGAAACTAAGCAGAGATGGATAGTGGCTAGCAGTAGAATTCACGACGCGCGTTTTGTCCTGTTTGGGACTAATCAGCCGGATGTACTTGCAACCCAGAGTTGATGTTCACTGTTTATGATGCTTATGATTTGATAGCACGATCGAGGCAATCCGCAGAGGATGCACATATGCCAAAAAGATAGTGACAAATTACAGTCATCGCCATTAATTAGACTATTTAAACAACTAATACAAAAGACTTATAAAGAAGATAGTGTCTTGCTGTTCTGAATAAATAAATTAAGTCAAACATTAACATATTACATTGTACTTTGAACAACAGCTAACATCGGAATTCAATCAGTTTTGTATGTGACAATCATCAATTGAATGGATGTACTTTCTTAGCATTGTCAATAATACAATGTACGAAGTTGTATAATCTTTAACAGTTTACGATTTCATTAAAATCAAGCCTATCTAACTAAAGTTGCTACATATCAAATAAAGAATTCTCGATTGAGCTTGATAGGCTTACCGTAAAATAAATTAAAGGTGTATAGAAATGGCAATCAGATTCTGTTTAGCCGTGTGAAAACATTAGTTGCCATAAGAAATGAATTTCCTATATGTTTTTGTTATGACCTTCAATCTCTTAAAATTCCATTTACTTAGGTGATAAAATTAGATAGTTCATTAGTTGCAAGTGCTCATACGCTGATCAAATCAGTAGCTTTCTTCAAAATCAATAACACAACTGACCTCCCACAATAACCAGAACCCCTTTAACTCCTATTGGTCCATACATTTCCTTCTGTCCTCAACAGTTAGTAAAAAGATGGAGATAACAAGTCAGTATTCACCTTATTGCTGTATTTTCTCATCATCTTGCTGACTAAAAAAAAATCCACAGAACGATATATTTCGATAAAATGGTGATAACACTCCACAAATAAGAAATTAAAATATGTACATGATTAAGCTAAAAACTGCGCAATACGTTTTTGATAAATTAACGATAATTGAAGAACGGCAAAATATATAACAATAGTTAATAAATGAAATGAAAACTTACAACAAGAGTTGTACGAAAATACAATAACCTTAATATTCAATAATTAAATAATAAGAACAGTTATTACAGCTCTTAGTAAGACGATTCTAAAAGTCCTATCTTTCTCAATTATTCATATTAATCTATCAGCTTCATTTCACTGTATTACTAAGTGTTGTGAATACCAACCACACTTTTAAGTACCTATAGTTCTTTCGGTTGCCTGAGAGAAGTTCAGGAAGAGTAGAACTATAGAATTGTAAAATAATTTCTTTTGGAATACTTTTATACGTTTAATTTTACAACTAGAGAAACAATCCCCATTCAAATCAAATTGGTTTGGTTAAAAATATCTATTAGGTGAAGTAGACGGTTTTATTGCTTATATTTAATGTATCTTTTATGATCTTATCCTACAATAAGTAATTATCCTTATGATTTCGAGTGACATATTATAATTACTTTGATCTTTATTCTTGTTAGGTCACAAATTTATCAGGAATCGAATGGGTTAGAAGACATTTAGAGCCTCGTGGTATAAAAGTTCATAGGCTTTCATTTGTTGATCCAAGACCAATGCATATTGATGCAACTTTTACTTTAGTTAAACCTGGTATAGCTGTTCAAAACCCTGATCGTCCATGTCATCAAGTTGATTTTATCAGAAAAGCCGGTTGGCAAGTTATCGACGCACCACAACCATTAATGAAAAAAGGTGAGTACTAATACATGTTAGATCGACCGAATGTAGTTACTGAAATATCGGGAGGTATTTAAATTGTAAACGGTTAGCAGTAAACAAGTATGACGATTGATGAATGTAGATTGGCTAGATAGAACGATATCTTAACAGTTCACAGACTTGATTTTCAGTCAGTAGATGACATGTTAAGCTACGATTGAAACTGTGTACTGACATTAGCTATCAAACATTAGTGTCTTTTATAAGTGAATACAGAGACATGTAACAAAGTAATAAGTTACTTTATCAGTTAATATCACTACATTTTTATTTTCAGTATTCATTATTTGAATATATCTTAAATTTATTATTATGGTTTAATAACAGAGAATAATTACTATTCTTAAAATGTTTCACAATACTCAATCCCCTCATTCACTCAGCTGTAGCTAATCTGAGAGTAAATGGTTATCTCGGACGGAAAAATTCCCTATCTCCTTTTTTTGAAGGCTAAATAAACAAGTGTTGTCAATACACATATATCTAAGGTTTTTAGAAATGGGATACCTACACGGTGTACTAAAATGAAAGTAGATAAAGAAATAAATAGCAGAATCAGTAGATACGAAAATTGTGTACGGTGTAGAAGCGACCTGCAGACATAGGTTAGTAATCATGTTTCATTGACGAATAATTGTAATATTCATTACTTTATTTGGTATTAAATAATAGATTGATTTGTTATGAAAAGTATCTGTCTTTCTTGTTCTGATGTTTTGTGTGCAAATCAATTAGTTTTCTGTCAATCAAGTTGACTTTATGGAGCACCCATCAAATAGCCTTTACACTTTATGTGATTTATAGATAGCATCTGAGGACCGAAATACAAAACATACATGATCCGTACTGAGGAGGTGCACTGTGCAAGAGTAATATATAGTAATTATTTTCTAGTAACCGGTTTCAATCTGCCATCTTCCCTGTCAGTGAGAAAAATTTAAAATATTGAGTATAACCTGTTAAAATAAAAAAAGGAATTTGTAATGTAAAATAATTCCCTACTTTTTATTTTCTAACATATAGATCATGAAATGTGGCTTGGTTCCAACTGGTTATCAATGAATGTCTTGATGTTAGATCAGAATAGAGTAATTGTAGAATCTGAAGAGACAGGGATTCAAGAAATGTACAAAAGTATAGGAATTAAACCAATCAATGTAAAATTTAAATATGCAAATTCGATTGGAGGAGGGTTTCATTGTTGGACGTGCGATATAAGACGGCAAAGTAAACTAGAATCATATTTCGACTGGTCCAAAGGTGAAATACCACGAATTTGAAAAATATATGTATGCAATCAATGAATGTAAGATGTAGGAACGTTTTTGATTTCCCTTTTGTATTATTGTCATTGTTAAAGATAAATATAATGTATTTGACTTTTGGAAATACAAATATAATCTAACATTAAAATTACGACTACATGTTCTGTGGTTTATTTCATGGCTATTGGATTCAGAAGTGGTTGACAATTTAATACCTGTATTTGACTCTAATATAACTGGGCGACAGTAGTGCTACTGAGGTGTATGAACTATTTAGCTAATCACATTCATACAATGTAGAAATAAAACGTCGGGTTGTATCTATGACAAGTATATAAGTATCAGTGCCATGGTTGAATTTGATAGTTTCAAATAGAATGAGGTTTGGGTAGAAAGTTAATAATAAATATATTTTTGCTATATCCTAATGAGTAGAAAAGTTGTATTTCTGACGTTTCGTGACTTAATGTAAGCCATTTCTTCAGCGTAAATAAATAACCCGTTATTTATTTGCTCAGGAATACAACTTTTCTACTCATTGGGATATAGCAAAAATATATTTATTATAAGACATGTATACTTCGGATATTCATGCTAGCAAAGAAACTTAACGAGTGAAGATGGACATCGAATAGATGCAAGTTGGAGGCCAGCTTTACACTGATTCCGTGAAATAAGTTTATTAAAACAGTCAAAGAGCAATATGGGTAAATGGAGATAGGCATGGATCCATACAATGAAAGCAATAACGTTACAATTAAAAAAATACAAACGTCATATAATTTCACACAATTATTTGCGCGTCACATTGATTTACGATCCGATCCGAGCATAAATATGTCACTACATTTAACTTTTTACCTGGAGCAATATATACATGTAAAGTGTCACTGCTCAAGAAATACACCGAATAATAAACCACAAAAAGTTGAATGTGATAAGCATCCAAATAACGTTATTTCATATTATGTCTTGTGGACGTTCTGACCAAATCAAGAGACAAGACACCAATCAGAATTCTGGTTATAATTTGGTCTAATACTCACTATATAGCTCAATGTCTCCAACTTGGTCAGTTAAACACACACCCGATCAGAACTATTGACAATTATATACCAACAAGTCAGAAGTGTCTGTGAGTAGTGGAGATTGTTAGTAATAGACTGGTAAGAAATTAGGAATAATAAACCGTATGACAGTAGTTATTGATCCAACAGAATCTTCTGATGATGAAAAATGTATACATAATAACCTGGTATCTTAGTAATTATACAACGAAGTTATAATTATTATTAATTTAGAAAGTCATTTTCAATTACTGCAAAATCTGTTCCGTTATAACACTTCAAAACGTTGATAAAATAATTTAGTTGAAAGCATAAAATAAATATGACCCGTGTTTTAATGCCAATTATATAAATCAAATGTTGTAAGAGGGAGTGACATGAACATGATATCAGTATTGAACAATGCTAAAATGTCATTTTTATGCGAATGTGCATGTAATGATGCATGACAAAATATTTAGGTACATATATGTTTAACATTTTAATAAACTCCAAAGATTATTAATGATAAGCTTGAATAGAATGAAGTGAATAGTCGCAGACGAACAAACAAAAAATCATTAACAAATAATTAAGTCTTGTTGTGTGTCAGGGAGTTATCCACTGAAGACAATGGAAGATGGTCGTGCAATATCGTGGATTGACATTAACATCTTTTGATCTCGACCTGTTGGTCTAGAAGTTAATGTTCGCGAGCGAGAAACTAGGTCCTGGGTCCGGTTCCTTGCGGAGGTGTCATAGTTGCGCACTGCTGAAAGGTCCCATATAGCAATCCAGTGCTTACGGCTTTTTAATGGTGATCTAACATTGATTGGGCTATGATCTCAATGAAAGACAATTGTCTCGTAACTCCTTGCTTAAAAACAAGTAAACTTGTTAAACAAATTGTTTACAAGTTTCCTTCACAGATGGCATGAGGTTTCTATAAATAGGATTGGAATAATTAAGTCGTTGGATAGAAACTGGAATTGGTGTACGATTCTCTTTGTTACCAGCTCACTCTTTATTGAAATATGTGCTGATGATATTGTAAAAGATAGTGAAAACTTTAGGACTGACCTATTTAGCTCAGAAAACTAAATATTTTTAAAATGAGGAGTCGGGATATGTTGTCATCGGTAAAACCGAAGATACTACAGATCTTTTGGTCTTGGTAACAACTTCGTCATTAACACATTTATAATTAAAGGATGTCAACTCAGTTAAATCAGAATTTATTAAACAAGGAGTTTGAAGATGTGTTAGGATGCGTATTATCTATGATGGTTAGTAGTCACAACGGATGCGTAGCAGGACATACCTGTTATTTCGTGAGGATGTACGATCGGAAATCTTCAGCTAGGATATGTTCAATAAAACCAATGAAGTCAGAATCAACTCTGAAGGCTTTTATAGCTATTTATCATAAGGATTTATTTACCGCCTCTCAGTAAATGGATTCCTGTTGAATATGTATTAGTAGGGTGACCAGAAGCACAGGATAGTGACCGTGAAAATGAAATGCCCGAAGTTGTATTTTTTATTGTAAATCTGTAGTGACATTGGGTCCTAACCACACAATCCTCCCTTATTCATGTTAAATATATTGTTCTATCTCTGGTAAAGGCTCGTTCTCCATCATATATTGGCGGTTGTTGCGAAGCAATGAATTGGTGTAGACGATTATGTGACTTCTACTTAAGATCTTTTAGATTAGGCAGTTAGTCGATAAACTATACTATGGTGTAATGAAAATGCCAGTGTTCGTGAATGAGTGAACAAAACTGGCTTAACTCGATGAACATGAGCATGTAGTGACTCACGTTTATCACGAGAACACGACTGGTTTAATAAAAACAATTATTATTATAACCAACTGTACCAGTGTTTGTTTTAACGTGCTTTTGTTTGACTGTGCTAATGACAGTTATTTTGTGCTTCCATTCTTTTACTTACACTTTGATTGTAACTTCGCGCGAATTCGGTTACCTTCTGTAACCAAGGTTGTATCCTGGCACGATCTCGGTATCCTTTCGATGCCACGAGATCGCCAGCAAATAAACCTCGACTTGGTCCATTAATTGCCTTCTGGTATTCGGCTTCTCAAGGATTTTATGGAGTCATTTGGAACGAGCTTCTTACGCCTTCTGATCTAATTGGCACGTGTTTCTTTGTAGCGGTGTTCACAGTTAATCTCAACTCGACGCCACGCTACAATTGGTAATCCCAACTCGAATACAAGCATATCGTTGAGAGACTAGTATCAGGCACCAAGCCATTTAAGAATTCTACAAATACAATAGCAAGGTTCTATCACTGCATTGACTGGATAGACGTGATGATCAGTCGCTATGATGAGTGGATGGATTATTACAGCGACCAATTACCATTATTATGTTTGTGGAGTATTCAACTGGCTTGGTGCTTGATACCGGAAATCGAGAGTTTGATGAGAAAATCAAAAACATGAGGACAGTAGTAACAATTTATTGGACATTTAAAGTAAATTACAGTGACATCTGAATACGATGATTTTCATTTGATTTACACTGATTAACGGTCAGACTTTGATCCAGTAAACTGAGAAGCATCACCCACTAATTGATGAATAATTTACAAAATAAACATAAACCGTCCATAAACAACAAATTTGCCAACATGATGAGTTTTGCGATGTAATTACATATTATAAACGAATATAAAATGTAATTATTACCTTATTTCAGCGACACTAACTAATTACATTATTGGTTACCGTCTCATGTACCTTATACATGCGTTCTGAAAAATTCAAATTGTTCAAATAACACATTTTCTATAATTCTCGTGTAAGACTTTAAGTATAACAATGTCTTCCAAGTATGGTTGTATGGAGAAATCGATCCAGAAAGTTTGCAAAACAAACTGGGATTTTTTAAAATGAAACCCACGCTTATTGAAAATATTTCTCGAGTTCTGACATAGGTATGATAAGAACGAATCAATGTTTCTTATTTGATGGTTGAAAATCTCACTACTTAGGGAACCATAACAGTGATTCTGTATGATTACATCAAAACAGCGTCGTCAGTTCAGTGTCACAATAGATTTTAGTGTATGCATGCATTCTACTTTCACACCTACAAAGTCGGTTGAGTCAAAGAGTTAGACATCTGTCAACCAATATTCGTCCACTTATTGCCATTTCATTCGTTTGCATTGTCCTCCAGCTACAGTTACTGGTTAGTACTGTAAAAGAAGACACTTCAAAACAACTCTTTAATATTACGAAACTGTTTATTTGTCTGAAAGACTTGGTTTGGAAAGGTCCACAGTTCAGTTTCAGTTTCAGTTTCAGTTTGGGAAGGACAGGAGGCTCGATGGCCTATGTTAGTCCTGACAATGGTGGTCTCTCAGTTGATCCAACTTTCTTTTGAAAGAGTCGACGGATGGAGCCTCAACCACGTGCTGAGGTAGTGAATTCCACTCGTTGATGATTCGATGGGAAAGTCGATAGTCAGCTGACAAGTAATTTGTTCTCGGCTTATGAACTTTTTTGGAGTGTCCTCGTAAATTCTCTGTTTTGGAAGACAAGAAAAATGAGGGCATGTTAGGTGCAAATTTATCACTAAGCAATTTGTAGACTGTAATCAAGTCGCCTCTAGTTCTGCGATATGGCAACGGGAAAAGGTTCAGCTTGGCCAGTCGAGATTCATACGGAAGCTTCGCTATTGCGGGAACCAGTTTAGTCGCCGTTCTCTGAACCTTTTCCAGAAGCTCACTGTCTTTTTTAAAGCAGGGGCTAGCCTCTTGTATGCAGTACTCAAGTTTAGGACGAACGAACACTGTATACAAAGTCAAAAACGTCTTAGTGTCGACATGACTAAAAGCCCTACGTATTGACCATAACGTTCTAAAACTTTTGGCGGCTATTGCACGGCAGTGTGCAGTAGTCTTTAAGTCTTGACTAACGATAACTCCTAAGTCATT